TTTTGTGCATGTCGAGAGTAGTGGAGCGACCCGCAGAGAGCTGGTGCGTTGCGCGGCTTGCCGCGTAGAACGCGCCAGCTCTCTCTCTGTCTCTCTCGTACGCTCCTCCGTCCATTGCTTTTCATTTCGTTTTCTTTTGTTTAATTCCTGGTTAGCACCAGTGTTTCCTCTCCCGATCCCTGTCCGAGGTGGCACGTTAAGGGCCGTGTCGTTTTTTTTAAGCTGGGCGAGGTACTGGTGGTTTAAGTTGGGAGTTTATGCCCTTCAAAACTTCAAAGGCATAGAGGACTGCAGCAAGGATCGATTTTGCAACTTTTTTTGTAGGGGTTGTTTGGCACTTGTGCCTCTGAGGCTGAGCTATGCAAGGGGCATTCTTAACAACCCTATGTCTTCAAAAGGACTGTTTGGAGGACAATGGACCCCATTTACCGCATTATGTGGGTCTCCAGGATGGAGTGTACTGAGTACTTGTTTGCTAGACGCTGCCGCCTTTTCCTTTTCAGGGTATTGTGGAAGTTTTTTTTCTGCAGTCCTTGGCTTTCATGCCTGCTGCATTGTCATGTTCTGCATGTGCTTGCATTGGTATGGAAGATGTTCCACTACTATAGGAAGGAGCTCGTGTTCGGCGTCTGCTTGTAAGGTTTTTGTGAGTTGTTCTTCTGCCTCGTAGAACTCATTGCGGGGGTGTTGTTATGAATATAATTCTAATGTTCTTTTACTTGTATCCTTGAACCGATCACCATTTTTCGGCTAATCTAGCCTTCTCCATCCCTCGGGACAAATAAGGGGTGGTACAGGAATATTCGCCTGTTGTCCATCGACTGCGCCTTTCGGCCTAATCTTAGGCCCTGACTCACCCTTCGTGAACGAAGCATGCGGAGGAACCCTTAGGTTTTCGGGGCATTGGATTCTCACCAATGTTTGTGTTACTCAAGCCGACATTCTCGCTTCTGCTTCGTCCACACCTGTTTACACTGATGCTTCGATTGCACGAAGACTAAAAAATGTAGAATCTGTTTTACCTTCCTCTTTCCCCCCTCGGCAACCATTGTGCCGTCTTCCAGTTTTTGCATCCCGTCTTAGATCATTTTTTAAAAATGTAATCTCCTTCAGAGGCATTCGGAAAACAGCATAATTGGAGGCCAGAGAGTTTTTAAGAAAAGACCACATGTCATGCAGCCTATCGAACAAGTTTTTCCAGCACAGCGGAGACCGCTCTGGACTCGTTCTCTCCTTGTTTCCAATCGTACCGAGTCTTGGCGGAAGTTTTTCCGCAGGGATCACCTTTGATGCAGCTCCTTCTGGTCGTCCCCGATACTGTGGCCGGCCACTGCTAAAGGAGGATGGTCTTACCAACTCCTGCTAGCAGGTGCTCTCGCGCCAATGCTGTTTCTTCAGAAAAAAAAGAAATAAAAAAGAGTGAGGTGTCTGCGTGTGCCGAGTCTGCTCCACAATGTTCATCAGCAAAACGGTAGATCATAGTTATTGAGAGAGGGGTGTGGTATCGAGAAAAGTTTCATGGACTAGTTTCAACAAAATGTGAAATCTGGCGAGGGCATTGTTTGCTTGCCCTCAGTGGTGCTGGGACATTGCATCTGGTCTGATAATGAAAATAGTAGTAGATGTACAAACGAACCCCATGATGGTAGCCTCCCTCATGCAGTGTCTGGACTTGGCACCACTTGCGGTAATGTTGTGCTCTTCAAGTAAGCCCAGGATTTTATCTAGACCTTGAGCATGCTTCCAGACAAAATGCCTTACTCCCGACAAGACCTCGTCACTCTCTTTCTCTCTCAGCCCTTTTACTGCCAAGTCGTCGATATATGGTCGAGTGATATGCTGGCTGACTGAATGCATGGCTCGAATCATATGTCCCTGAATCATTGCCATCACATTAGTCCATCCTTGCGGAGCTACATTCATGTGAATCAGTCGTCGGGGCGTATGCATCGCTGTCATTGGTCTGTCTGGCGAAACTGGTCATATTCGGAGTAGAGGTCTATAAGCGAATGCACATGACTTTGCCAGCGCGTCGGCATTTGGGAAGCCCCCCGCATCTTGCACAGTCACAACGTCCACCCGCTGCAAGTCCTGCACCCACCGCACCGTCCGATTAGGTTTGACAAAGTAAGACCATGTGTGTCTCCATGGTCTTACTTTGTCAAACCTAATCGGACGGTGCGGTGGGTGCAGGACTTGCAGCGGTTGTGACTGTGCGAGATGCAGGGGGCTTGCCAAATGCCGACGCGTTGTCAGATCATGTGCAGGGAGGTCTATAATTTCAAAAATCAACCTGGGAGGCCTATAATTTCAAAAATCAACCTTCTGTGCTGGAGTAAACACACAGTCTTCACTATATTCACTTCGATCACCTTCTAGATATCGTCTTTTTGAGTTTTGCACAGATACAATAAAATAAATCCCTTCTACCGTATTCGCTTCAGTGCACTGTGGTGTTATTTTCATGTTTTCTGCTTTTCTTTGATTGTGACAATTGTCGATGCTAGAAGTTGTCTACACCGGGTTGTGTTTCATTGTCTGCCACGGCGGTTCACAATTGAAACATTCACAGACATCATCCCAACAGTTGATGAGCGATTGCAATCCTGCCGCTTCTTTCTCCCCTTCTGCCACATGCAGAATTTCAGGCCGCGATGCAGAAGGTATGTCGATGTCAAGCAGTCTTCTTGTAATAAATTGCATAAATTGCAAAAATAGTTAAAAAATTGCAATTTGCAGCGATGCTTGCAAATCAGAATTCCATGGGTATATTTGGGTCCATGCTTGTGGCAGATAGAAGGAACTTCGCAGCTTATACTGGCTGCTGCTGCATGAAATGTTCGTACATATGTGCATTTCCAAAAGATGCATTGTCGCCTTGTGGCACAGGCTGGTAGCTGCATGGAATATTCCTGTATTTCCCTAGAACAGCATTGTCGCCTTACAGTCAGGCCCGGTCTCGGTGATGAGCGAGTGCATGTCCTGCCAGGGGATTGTGGATCTGAAAGATCAATCAGCATTGTCTTACAGGTGCTTCCTCGGTATTTGCAAATGGAGAAAGTGGTTGGGAACTTCAAACCCATCTCTTCATAGACACCTTTTTTTCTGCAGGGCTGGTCAGGCCCTGCACGTCAACGAAAATGGAAACGCTGCAGGCCTGCTTTTAGCTGGTGCCGACGCCGGTGGCTGCATGCAAGTTGCACATTTTATTCTTTGGCTGAGAAATGTGCTGGTGGGGTTCAACACCAATACCTCTGTGTTGGTACCTAAAACCAACAAGGAGGCATTTCAGGGCTTATTATTAACCCCGTAGCAGCCAGCCCGAGTTCCCAACGAGGGAACATGCAGGGGGTGAGCCCGATCTGCAGGTGGGCATTACCAGCCAGGGGTCAGCCAGTAGCGTTAGGGCTAGTTGTGGGCACCGCACATGCCCAGGAAATTACATGAGGCCACTGGGGATCGAACCCAAGACCTCCTGTATGCCACCCTGCATGTCTTACGAACTGAGCTAAGCCGACTTTGCAGTCAAATAGAAACCCCATTAAGAAATTACAAAAAAAGAAACGGCCTTACCTCTCCACATCTACCTTTCCCACACCCCAGGAGGGAGATCCCACTACCAATGTCTGTGGAGTAGTGGATAGGGCGTGTGACCCTTCGGCGCCGTTGATGAGAACGGTGATCAGTGGTGTTGTTTTTCTTGGTTTTCGGCGTGGGGAAAACATATGACTTTTGGGGGGCTCCCATTGGGTGGCATTTCTTTTGCTTTTGTTGTGGTGCTCCTCTGGGGGTCATGAACGTGCGTGAAAATCATACCAACTTTTTTTGGTTGGATTTTCACACACCTTCCACCTACGTTTTCGTCGTTGCCCATGCGTTCAAAAGAGGCTGAAAATGAAAATGTTCCCCTTTTCTCATCATGAAGGGATGTCAGTTGATGTCAGAGTCTTCCACAACTTGTCTGTCCTTCCAAGCCTCTCGTTGGGGAACGTTAACAAATGTGTGTTGGCCTCATGTACATGGTCCACAAACCGTCCACATGCACAACATACCAGCGGAATCATCAGAAGATCCACAACCTGACAGCTGACCGCAGTTCGCGGCGGGTGGACAACATTGTGGTGTCAGAATTGCGGCATTTTGTTCTTTTTCAACATTTATAGCGGAGTAAAAGATGCCACACGGATGTCGCCTGCACGCAACCGTCACACTACTCCACATACATCGTTAGTGGGATCACCCTACAGGAACATCAAAAGAAAAACATGCAAGTTGTGTAAATTAACTTTAGTTAAGTCACCGCCCAAGAATCCTTTTAGAAACCCGCCTAAAGTGGCACAAAGTACACAGCCAGAGGCTCCTTTTCGAAACCCGTCTAACATTCACATGGGCCTATGCAAGGCCAACACATGCACCTAAAACCAATTTCCTTTTCAACCTAATCATTGATTTAAACCACTATTACCTTTCTGGTTTCGGAAAAATAATGGGCCTCCGACATTTCAGGAGGTGGCCGAAACGAAACGACGGCCGCCGATTAGATTTATCAACGACAGCCGTCGTCGGGCCCGGCCTCCGAATATTTCAGGAACAGGTGATTTCCCTCATTTCAAAGGTACTAGCGGTTTAAGAAAAAAGGAAAAACAAAAAAGAAAATTGTCGGGCGACAAGTGGATAAAAGGGAGGGAAAACAGGAAAGGAAAATAGAATAAAATGAAAAGAAGTCCTCTCCACTTCCACATGTTTCCTGATGAAAAAGGCAAAAGAAATTCTTCAAAATTGAGCTTGCAAAATACATCCCCACCCCCAAACAAAAAAAAAGAAATAATAATAATAATAATAATAATAATAATAATAATAATAATAATAATAATAATAACAAGATGAGAGACACCCACAATCCAGAACCTTGACCTTGATCTCAGAAGCCAAGAAGATTGGGAAAAGGAGGCGGCAAAGTGGAAACCTTCAGAGTGGAACACTTCCTCCAAGGGGAGAGGGAGACGGAGACACGATGAGATGAAAGTGGCACAATACGATGAAGTACAAACCCTTCAAACACTTCAAAAACAAAAACAATGCTTGGCAACTGCGCTGACCTCTCAACAAGCTTGAACCCCTTCTGCATCTTCCTAACCTTCAAACCACCTCCTAATGGTGTATGCGACCAAGCAACACTCTACTATCAATTTATACGATGAGAGCAAAAAGCCTCACACGCAGAACAAAGTTCCAAAGTTCTTCAGCAGACGAGCTTTATCCCTACATTTTTTCTATATAATTACTATTTTTCCTTGTTTCATCGGGTCACCAGGAACATTAAAATGCACCCAAAGGCAGCGGCAGCGATGAGACCCGCCTCAGCTTCATAATCAAAGCACCCATCTACTCCTCAATGCATGAATACCAATTCCTCCTCCCCCCGTCTGTCCACCATTACTCCTCCCTTCCTCTTTCAGTGAGTCACCATGAAAAGTCGAGAAACCGCCTGAGGCCTCGGTAGGAGTTCCAGCAGCTTTGTAACTTGAAAAGCACCAAAGCATCCACACAAATTACCCCAAGCCCCTTTTCTTCTCCAGCCTGACCTTCCTTGCCATATGGTCCCCCATATCTCCTATCTTTTAAGGGTGATCCCCTTAAGGATTAAATTGATCTGATTCTGCCAAGAATTGAACTGATGATCCATTTATCGACAGCCACGTGTGTATGCCATTCAGCCGCATGGGCTAGGCAGGTCTTTGTATAACAATCGTTTGTCGCCGTAGATGCCTTTTGATGGACTTCGCAAGTGCAAATAATCAGCGTTCCCACCAAACGAACACTTCTTCCCAGCTGGTATCTGCGAAGGCACCTAACAAACATAAAGATTCCTATGCCGTTCCACTGCTTCAAAGTGGGAAGAGTTTTCATGATTCATTTCTGGGCTGGTCCCATTTGACCCTCTTCATAGCTTTTGGCGGAGTGCCCGCTTCCAATACTTCCAAAAGTGTCTTTCATGAGACTGCTGAATAGGCCACTGGCCCGAAATTCTTCATAGCTAGAGGCCTCAGAAGTCTGGCTAGCACCCTGCTTAGTCCCATTCGCCGAGCGTACAACACACGAAGAAGTGTCCTTAACTCTCCTCAAGTATGCGAGGTAAACAGTTGCAATGGTATCGTGTCCGTCAACCCTTCGCGGCACTCTAACAGCACCCCACGCCAGCCATTAGGAGACGGAGGAGATGGGTGATTGGTCCAGAGCTTGAGAAGTAGTTAATGATCAGGAGGAGCAGGTCATTGCTGAGGCTCCGCCGCGGGACCGGCAGACCAGGCAAAGTAGACGAATCAGTATTTGCAGGGTGGTTTACACACCGAGCATGGCTGTCACAAGTCCTTGTTGGCTGCTGCTGGGTGTCCACAACCTAACCCCAAGATTTTTGTAGCACATGCACACGTTTCGCATTAGATCTTAGGTCGGGAGCTGCCTCCCTTGATTGATGTTCCGTTTCTCGCTTCAACAGCTTCAGACTTGTCAAATCGGTACAAAGAAGAGGGATTGCGTCCCCACAACCTCTGTCGATGTGGTATACGACAGAACTTGAACTCTCGACTTGTTTGACCGATGTGCGACTACGCATGCTGCTCAGCTGACAGCATGACAGCAGCACAGATCTCCGTACAACCAGCTGGAAGCATTCAGGTCTCTCTCACGTGACGACTAACCTTTGATTACAACCTACTAACCGACTGCTGACGACATTCTATGGAACGGATTGTACGCATACAACAACTCGGCACTTAAAAAAAAGAAAAAGAAAAAAAAGCTTTGCATGCAATGTCATAGCAGCCATACATATATTATATTGTTTCCCCCCGTCAGTCAAGCCAATCAATCAATCAATCAAGCAATCAATCAAGCAATCAAGCAATCAATCAAGCAATCAATCAATCAATCAAGCAATCAATCAATGATTGTTTGATCAGCCAACCATCACAAGTCATGAACGCTGATCAATAAAAGCTGACGTCTGTGCGGCACACATCTGCACAGTCATCGCATTTACTAGAAGTCCAGTGATACGAAGGCGTATTGGCCCCCACTGGAACAAACCCTTGCAAAGGCCCCCAGCACAAGGAATCCAACATGCGAAAGGGAAGAGCCAGGGGATATATATATATATATATATAGACCCAGAAATAAACCCATCAATTTGAATGTGGAACAACAGAAAGACACATGTTGAACATACGGCATATCAGAACGCCTGGAGTCCGTGAAAAAAAGCGACCAAGAAAGGTGGATGAATTGGCCAGGATGACGCACGGCAACAACACAAGGCATCCAGACCTTTACGGAATGGATCTCTAGAGGTAAACTTTTAAACTTTTACATAATACATATGCACGGCATGCATAGCCTAAGGGGGGCGACGACAGGGACCACACAAGTTCTCCCTCCACTTGCGGAGTTATTGCAACTGGCACCGTTGTACACCAGCGCATCAACCGATCAACCATTTCCAAAATGCAACATAGCCAATCAACCATATGGAGTACAGATAAGCAGTCTAGAGTTGGGTGGCTTTAAAAGGCGACGATTGGTTCCACCGGCGCAACATACACGTACATCTATGAAAGCAGCTGTGTGTATGCCTGATGACCCAAACGATACCTCTGAGAACCGCAACAAGCGTACGAGCTAAACTCCTGAAGGGCTTGGCAAGTTGGGGTGAAAGATCTTCTGCAGGCTTGGGGTCTATCAAGAGTCAAGATTAGTCTGTGAACAAAAGTACAGAAAAGCTGAGCACAAGTATTGGTTCCTCGATCTTCTGTTAGCCTACACCTGTGCGACTTATCTGCCTGCTTTTACGCATTAGGATGTGTAGGAGGGGTTAAAAAAAATGGCCTATCAGACAGTACACTGAGTACAGCGCAAAAAAGAAGAATTTATTTACATAGCAGCCATATGATGTAATACATCATACATAGCATTCATTGCATTAGTAGTATAAAGTACTATAGTATGTTAGTACTATGTACTATGTGGATCTGGTCACACAGTACACAGTGTAAGTGTGTACGAATCCCTAAGGGCTTTCCAACCATATACATAGCGTCCATATGATGTAATACACCATACATATTACATAGCATTCATTGCATCAATAGTATAGTATGTAGTACCATGTACCATGTGGATCTTCTCACACAGTACGCAGTGAAGCATGTAGGAATCCATGTATCTCAAGCAAAATAGCACAAAGAAGGAGAATGTACATAGAGAAGCAACATACTACATCGCTTTTGTGGCGGAGATTTACGCATAAAACGATAGGAATTTGTTATGGTATTTTGGCTATACCCACTATGCCCGAGTGCAGCTAATTTTGGCTATACCCACTATCCCAGAGTGCATAAGCTGCACATTAAGTTCTATGTACATAGCACAAATGACATCCTAAGAATAGTCCAGATACATAGGTAGCTCCCCGGTGATCAGAACAAGGGCCAGCCCCATTCCAGGCTGGCAGTAGTCTGTTAGCAGAAGAAACGAACCGGTGTGTAAGCCGGTTCGTGCTCAATTAGCACAAAACATAGAGGTACCGGTCCCCGGTCATAACCAGCAAACTATGCAGTCTGCAAACCAAGTAACGAATCCAATACCCGTATGTACACAGAGATGTGAAGACTAACTATCACAGTCCAGTCCTAGTCTATATGTTGCAGCCTATCCACCAATGAGAAAATGAGGAAAAAATGTCTTATCAGAAGAGAGAAAAAAAAAAACGAGAAAAAGAAGGAGACGATTCGATGCGATATGTATATACATAGAGAAGCAAAAGGACACAGTAAAAAAATGATGCTATTGCTACATGCTGCAGCCACCGATGAGAAAAAGAGAGGACACAGTCAAAAAATGATGTAGTTTTGCAACACTGGGCTTCCTGTGAAAGAACCCACGATGAAACATCATGATGACTGCTCAGGAAACAATGACAAGGGGGGGAAACAAACAGGACCCCGCCAACGAACATAAATGCACCTGGTCAGCAAACTAGGACAGAGGGGGAATCTAACATGTACCTGGTGCGCTGAACAGGATCTGCAGGCCAGACAGGGGCAATTAGTCCACTCTGTGTAATTCATATGTACAATGAGGTTGAGTAGAAGATAGAAAGGGATGAGTAGAAGATAGAAAGGGATCATCGACCACATTACGCGCATGTTGGCTAGTATACAAGAAGAGCGACGAGTTGCAATCTGCACAAGATTCTGCAGCTTCGCAACCGGTCCATCCGGCAAAAAACGTTGCGCACACCAAATCCTGCGCATCATCAGCAAGTAAGCTGAATGGAGCATCAGACATGGACCGTCCATCATCATAGACTGCGCTTAAGAGGAGGAGCATGGCCTGGGCACATTGTCAGACTACCCATCGGCTGGAATGTTGCACTACTGGGGATGGACCGCGGACCAAAGCGGTCCTGCCAAGCCCCCAATCTGGCACACAGTTCAAACCATCCGAACTAACGTTGCTAAAAACATAAACCCTAAACTCAAGACACCACAAACATCACCCATATCAGCAAGCAATATGGTCCCAGGACTATAGTGGCCCACCAATTTAATGGGCGCAGGACTAAAATGGCCTGCCAGGCCTATCTGGGCAGACCGTGCGTGCTGACTAACTCGATTCCTTGTGAGTCTATAAAACAGGGGACAACATGAAAAAGGCAAACTCCAGAGGCAGCATCTTCAAGACAGATATGCTACCGCCACAGTCCCGACACAACAATTGGCCCGCTATAGTCAAGTGTAACATGCATAGTACAACTACCGTTTGCACCCGAATACAGTGCCCGCACTGCCCAGTCATTATCGGTGTACATAGACTGAAAGTTGCCCCAAATGCAGCTATAATGACCATACCTTCTATGTGGGTGAAGCCGGTAGGCCATCAACAATTTGCCGTAACAGTGTAACCTGCTACACGCCACAAAGAAAACTCCTCCTCCTCCTCCTGACCTCTCACCTGTGGCATTCCTTACGCCTGACACATCTTCACCACCGCACAGAAGATGTTCAGAATCATCGACTACCCGGTAACCACAGACAACAATCAGACACAAATGACATGAATCGAACACGGTGCGCTTAAATACCCTCAAATCTCATCGAACTGATGCTCAAGCTAAGGGCCACAATTATTATCAATCAAAGAAGAAAAGACAACAAACGACCAAAGACGGCAGGAAACTGCTGCAATGCACTTCAGTGCCATTGCTGTGGTATTACAAGCGACGAGAGATCGTTGAGTTAAGAAAGAGTTCAAGTACCTACGCGTTCCACAACATGAGGGGTCAAACCCTCCTCGCACCTGTTTTTTAATTGGCCCATAGGATTCTGTGGCGCAGTTAACAGAAGGAGGCCATACAGAATGTGAAAAAAACTTTACAGCAGAGTGGCTTTACCATGTTGAATTGGAAAAGCCACAATGCTCGGCGGCTAAGCTAGTATACAGAAAAGCAGGCAAAAGCTCACAACTCCCACCGCCATGGCTGTGGCTTTTCTGCCATAAGTGTTGACACTGACTCGACAGTCTTCCATCCAACTCCCCACTCTTCTTTTTCAACCAGCATGAGCATGGTTTATGTAAGGAGAGCCTAAGGAGGTAAAAATTCCGTAAAATAGAATGTGAAATTTTTGCAGTGGAGTGATTTTGCCATGTTGAATTGCAAATGCAACAGCGCTGGCAAAGCCATAATGCTCGCAGGCAGAGGGTAGACAGAAAAGTTGGCAAAAAAAAGGCCCACAAACCCTAACCAAAGCCATTATGCTCAGGGGTTAAGGTAGCAGACAGGAAAGGCGGCAAAAGGTCACAGACCAAGCCATAATGCTCAGAGAGGCAGAGACTAAGGTAGTAGACAGAAAAAGGCAGGCAAAAAAGCTCACAGATCCCACCGCCGTGCCATTTTCTGTGAAGTGTCTACAGTCTTCCATCCACCTCCCCACTCATCTTTTTCGTTTAGAAAGAGTGTGCGTCCAGACTCCTCACTCTGTTCCTTCTCCAACGTCACCCATTCGGTCAGAAATCCCCAGGCAGGAGCACACTTCACCGGGAACCGGAAGAGCATCACTGTTAGAGTCTTCACATTTCTGCAATTGCCCAGGAATGACCGTATGAGCTGAACTGTCCGCGGGCTACAGTACTTAACCCAAATCTTCAGCTCTTCTAACTGCGGAGCCTGCAAAAAGGCCTTTGTCAGTCCGCACTCCCCCACATAGTCCTGCAACCAGGGTATCACTTCACCGCGTATCTCCAAGCTCGTCAGCGTGGGAAAAGGTCGGAGAAAGGCGTCTAGGAACAGCCGTGCCTCCGTTGGTCTGGCATCGCGTTCCACCTGCACGTCAATACCGAGTCTCCTGAGCCGGGATCTGTGCATGACAAGGAGATTTGTCATGTCGTTTACGCATGCGCCGGTGCACGGAGACTTGCCGGACGGTTTACCGCTCAGCGTGGCTAAGATAGCCATATCTACTGGCTTCCATAGCACGTCAGGACTGAGGTTCAACCCTCTGACACTGTTGTCGAGGATAACTTCTCTCGGGCACGTCCCTTCCAGCAACGTGAACCGGGAAACGTGCCGCAGAGTCATATGCTCTAGCCTCGGAGCATCAATGATCACTTCGCCAACTGTCCTGTGTGCAGGGCGGTAATGGTCGCGGTTGAGACAGGGACTAATGACAACTGTTTTCAGAGACGAGGACCTGACAATAACCTGAGTCGTAAGGCGATGAACGTCTATCGTCAGCGATCGAAGACGTGGGAAGAGTTGAAGAAGCGGACCCAGATCTCCATCGTCCGCGTCGAGCTGAGCATTGCCCATAACAAGGTGCTCGAGCAACATCAATGGACGATGGTAACTAGCGAAAACGGCAAGATCCTGAACTCCCACATTCATCCACGGGTTCAATCGTAGTGTCTTGAGCCTTCTGCAATTGGCCAAGGCATAATCCATTATCTCAAACGAGTACCCCCTTACATTTCCCTCTTCCCGTGTTGTGGTGACATCAAACAGAAACTCCGTCAAGGACTCCCGAGCGTGCTCTAGACAAAGTTTCAGTGCGTCAACGTTCTCTAGGCACTTCCAGCTGTTGCATACAATGGTCAGACTCTGGAGATCAGTAGTTCGTAACACCGGCTTTACAAGGGAGTCACGGATGTTTATTTCCCATCGATTCAACTCTATCTTCAACTTAGGGACCTGCATGCAGGATGGCAAGCCAACACTGGCTTAGAAGAGACGGCCACAAATCTTTGCTTCTCATCGTTTCAGCTTTTCTTTTTTGTTTGTTTCCTTTCTTTCTTTCTTTCTTTTTTTGTTTTGTTTTTTTAGTCTTCAATCTACGAACCGTAATAAATGTTTTCTTCCCAAAACAAAAAATAAAAAATCTAGGAACCTACAGACAAGATGACAGCAGCCAGCCCTTCGTAGTCATTTGTGTCACAGTGATCGGCTTCCTTGCACCACTGCGCAGTCAGCACGTGGGCATTAATAACATGCATATCAACAATGACGGAAGCAAGTATTAGTAGTCGTTTGTTGACGAGGGAAGGGGGGGGGGAGGGAGGAAAGTAGGTAGGGACGGAAAGAGGGAGGGAAGGAGAAAGGGAAAGAGGGACGGAGGGACGAGGGAAAGAGGGATTTTTTTTCTTTCTCACGTTGCTTGTCAGTCCCTACTTCCTCCTCTATTCCCAGAGTTCATAAGACTAAGGCTCAACATTGTGCTGCCTGTTGTGAGACGCTTACAGACAGCCAGCCGCTCTGTTTTTGAGCATACAACATAGTCCACCGATCTTGAATGCAATGCCGAATTCTCTTCGTGGTCCCCACCCACTCCCTTTCCTGCCACGCGCTTGACGTTCAAGTTGCAAGTCGTAGCCAAGACGTGCCATGTTCGGTGGCACGTACGTGCTGTGCCGTGGTTGATCGCCCTCTTCGCCATCTCCACTCATTGTTCCACCTCCCTTGAGCACTTTCCTCTCTCTCTTTCCATGTCTCTTGTTTGAGGTGTCAGGGAAGAGAGTCATTACCAAAAAGGGACGCAGGGTCATTTTCACAGATAAGCTGCTACTGTTGTTAGATTCATCCGACGTCAATCACCGTCTTGTGATTTTCCACTTACTTTGGGATCTTCATTGTGTGACGATTGGAAAGGGTTGACCATCACCTGCCTGCCTATATCACTCAAAAACTTGACAAAATTTTCTAGAGATTTCATCTCAAACAGGTGCTGCAACTTTTGGAATATTGGACGCACATTTAACTGAGCAAGATAACCGTGGAGAGGTACTTCTTTAACACTTGCCGTTCACAGACTAGACCAAAATTTTCCAAACATTCTTCACCAAACAGGTGCTATCTATAACCATCGAGAGGTATTTCTTTGTCAGTGGCAAGACAATTAATCCTCGAGCAATAACTGTCTGACATCGTCTCCTTTCTTTTCTGGCAAATCCTTGCTTTTTCAAAGCAGCCTGATCCTATTTTTTTCTTCTTTTTTTTTTCCGACAATCGTCATCCCCATAATACATCTTCAGCAGTACACACAAAAGAGCTAAGGTTTCTTGACAACTCTTTGGTATAATGGAAAGGACTACCTGAGAAGAGAGGTTAAACCACAAGTACTTCCAGGTTTTTAGGACATTAACGCGGTGGCCGAATCCGTGCGCCGCGCAGGTCCATATGCATTTGCCTCGGAGCCTCCCCAGAGGCGGCCTAACACCCCATGGGGTACTGGTGGTTTAAACCACCACAGCCTGCAGCACGACTGTCACCGAAAAGGCTCCACGAAGTCTGGAGGCCTGCAACGCACCAACGCCTCCAATGCATTTTATCGACGGCGGGCCCAGCCTCCTGACACTTCAGGTAGTGGGCTACTACTTGAAATTCCGATGCCTGCAGATAGTGGTTGTGCTACTACCTTCTTCCCCCGAATACAACGTGTGGTAATTATAGCTGTTTTATTTGAGGCATCTTTCACTCTAGATACAGCTATAATGACCGGACGTTGTATTCGGGGGAAGAAGGTACTTCCTCCTTTTGTATATACGGACCCTGCTTCATTTGACACTTGGTTGTTGCAAGAAAGGAGTAGGGCAAGGGGAGAAGAGTTTATTGGGGGGAAAGGTGGAGGTGTTAGGATGATGGAAGGGAGGAGGAAGTAGGTCGCGTAGCACTGGGCAGGACAAGCTAAAAAGATAGGTACAACAGAGGTAAGTGATCCACAAGGCATACCCTGTATACAGCCTGTAGAAACCGGGTACAAACTGAGGCGTAGTGAAGGAGACGTTTTGTACGGCCATTGCTCGCTATCTCCAAGATATACCGCAAAATCGGTTCTGGAAGAAAGCTCAGATAATCCTTCGGGCTCCCTGTCTCCATCTCCCCTGAGCCTCCGTTGTTGAGTTGCGAACGGACACTCAAGATCCTTGATGTCCTTTTGCAAACAAGCAAAGCCACAGATGTGACGTGTGTTCACTGTGCAAAGACACAAACCACAGACACGCGTCAGCAATTCGATCCCCCAAATTCTTTTTACGTATGATGCCTACGTCAATTAACCAAGCAGACAGACCCCCCTCGTGCACCTGCAGATTGAAGACACACGGTGGTCCAAATCATCATCCCATGACCCCTAAGCCGGTCAGGCGGGGGGCTTGCCAAACCAAGCCCATGTGTTGGAATCMCCCCCCCCCCCCCACACGAACTGTTGACAACCACACCTGAGTTCGAATCTTGATGGAATCAGTCGAATGAAAAATCAACTCTGAATTACTTGAGGCCGTTCAGTCCAACGATGATACCTCGAGGCCGTTGCCCTTTCTTTAGACAAAAAAAATGAAGAGGAGCTTTGCTGCTGAGATTAGACTTTTTGTGCAGCTTGCAAAGTTCTGCAGGCTGAAGGCCCAAATCACGCAGTCGAGATGTAGGCTTTCACGGTGAGGTTCCACTTACAAACTTCGTTTCTGTCCGCGGATCACAGAGATTAGTGACCTGGAATGAAGAAGCTGGGCAAGTGGGACCGTGCACCAGGACAAGACAAGGCACATCAGGATTCAATGGCAGAAGCCGCAGAACCCTTAACTACCACTGGCCATTTGTGGTGCGATACAGAGGAGCAAGCACATCGTGGCCCAGCACAGGAACATAAAATTCCACCCTCCCAAAGTAGCACACTACCACTTGCCCGGCCAGGACACTTTGCACAAGCATCCACCTTCCTTGGGCATCCGGCAAGCCAAAAATTATGGTAAACCACCACTACCTTTCTCAGGCAACGGAGGCCAACAACTTGTTCACACCCGCATCTTTGGGGCCTCGACCTCCTGAACACCTTTGCCTGGCAGCGCCAAAAAGTTTTCAAAATGAGCACCATGAACGTTTGTTTTGCGGTAAAAAAAAAGAGGAAAAAAACTCATGGTCGGGCATTTCTGCCCCCACCGAGATGTGCCGATCTGGCCTTATCTTTGAATTTGCTATTGTGTGGCCATGGGGTTCCTAATGGGCACAAACACACCGCCGGTAGCACAGCCCGCTGCCATATAGGCTGAACCACACCCATGGAAGTACTTTTCTGCGCAGCCACATGTTCACCCAACCAGGTTGGCAAGAGAGAAAAGATCGCCCGATCACAAAGTATGCCAGTGCTGCAGAGGAGCAGGCACACATCCTCCCCTCCTGAACACTACAGAAGGTACATATATACTATATAATAATGACCAGGCTCTCTCTCTGTCCCCAAGCAAAGCACATGTTTCCTGTAGAGCCGTTCCTATGCCGCCCAACCCCCCAGCCCCCCCCCCCCCCCCCACAAAATGCATTCAGAACCTTCCCATGGCCGTAAATACTGTAAACGCAGTCTATAATGACCGGGCTCCTTCTCTCTCTGTTCATACCTGAAACACATATTTCCTGGAGAGCCCAACCCCTGCCTCCCCACCAACAAAAGAAAACAACACGCATTCCATAACCTTCCCACAGTCATAGATATGGGAACTACTGTATTTAGAACCTTGGCGCACTTGCCGAATTTACACTCAGAAAAATCTCGCAAGAGGGAGACCAGCTGATGATAGCTTATAGTATCAAGCTCTTTGTTTTCCTATCTTCTAGTGTCAGGAGGAGGGTTAAACCGCTACGTAGTACACGGCCCCAGCCTTGCTGAAAATGTTTCGCCACCCACTCCAAAATTCCAAATTCCACGCCTCAGGCCTACTGGGTCACAATGGCTGGTGGCGCCAGCCAAAAACGAAAAGGAGTGCACCGCTGGCAGTTCGGCAAAGCTTGGCGTGCAGGGGAGCGTCTCCAGGCCCAGGTGTACTGGTGGGAATAACTTTCAGAAACCACGGGCGATATCTCACTCCCCCAAAAGTGGGACCTTTGCCCGAGCTTCCTGAAAACTCAGTTCTGTATTTTCTTCCCCCTGAAAACTCAGTTCTGTATTTTCTTCCCGCTGGTGAAGAAGGCAAGGGTTCACCTGAGCTTCTCCACAGCCCTCGACAAACCTATGCACAGTTAGGCTGCCAGCCTTCTCCTCAGGTTCCACCCATTTGATGTGACAAGCATAAAGTCTGTAGTTCAAATCTACTTAGGCCCACTCTGCTCTGCTGGCGAGCCACGCTCACCGCACTCGCAAGAGTGTTTTCTTTTCTTTTATTTGATTGTCCTTCCACCTCTCATCTCACGGCAAGCACACCAGTCTCCACAGATTGACCACGTGTGGGGTGCAGCTCTAAAAGAGCCCACTAAAACACAAAACTCACTGACCCCACAAACATTCGGCAACTGTCCATCCAAGCCTCCTCCTGTCCACACACATGCAAAACCCTTCTCCTGTGGTCCACAGACATGCAAACACATAGACTGAACAGTTGCCCCAAATACATGCGGCGCGCCCACTAAAATACAAAACTCACTCGCAAACATTCGGCAACTTTCCATCCAAGCCTCCTCCTGCCCACAGACATGCAAAACCCTTCTCCTACCGTCCACAGACATGCAAACCTAAGCCTGAAAAGTTGACCGACATGCAAACCTAAGCCTGAAAAGTTGACCCACATGCAAACCTAAGCCTGAAAAGTTGACCCAAATAACACGGGTGAGAAGGGTAGGGTTCCCACCAATGTGACGTCAGCAGATTGACCATGAGTGGCCACAAATACTCGGCATCTGTCCGTCCATGTCTCCTGTACAAGGAAATACTGCACCACTTCTCCTAGGGTTCCCAACTTACAACCAATCGGATATCCGGAATTGATGTTGTTCAGTATCTAGAACCTGCCAAAGTCAATATCTTCATTCCGTCTTTGTCATTTCTGCTAGGACGCTTGTGGCCAATGTTGAATGATCCAGCCCTTCGCTCTATACCAAAACTGCATATGCCTTTTCTTTTTGCCCTTCTATCAGGTGAGAATTACACTACAGCCCCTCATAGTTACAGCAGAGAAGTCCGCTGGGCCGGCATGAAACTGCACGCATATCTTGTGACCACAGCACGCACTCCAGTGCACTCGTGAGCAGCGAAAACCTCTCTCTCTCTCTCTCTCTCTCTCTCACACACACACACACACACATCCATACCTGACCAAAAACGCTCGAGTTTTGAAACACTGCTCACGTCCTGGACCAGTGTGAGCTGAAAGGTTTTGCACCTAAACCCTGAGCACATCGTGCATGTCTTTGGCTTTAGCAGGGCTGCCTCTACAGAGTAGCTGGGCTGCCTCTACAGAGTGCAGAACCCTCCGAAGATTCTCTTTTCGAACCCTGCACCAAAAACTTCAGGAGGGCCGATAGGTCCTCAGCGGACAAACGCCCCCACGGAGAGCCTACCGGCATAGAGGGCCCACTGTCTTCCCCTGAACATAACGCACCCTCATTATGAATGTATACAAGCTGTCTTTAAGGTTCGATACAGTCATAATGAGGGTGCGTTGTGGCCGCAGCAATTGTGGCTTGACGACTCCTGAGGTGACCAAGGGGTAGTAGATCATTGGTAGCGTGCGGGTTATTTCAAAGGCACTTCGTTTGCCGTTCCAGTCAACGCAATCAGATCCAACTTCCAAA